TGTTTATTATGCGGCCATTTATTTTTCAAGGAAACGAGGTGGAGTAACACGAGGATTTGTTGTCGCAGAGCTGGTCGTCATCATTATTATTAGCTTTGTGACAGTCGTGGCGTCAAGATGAAGAGAGGGAGCGGGAGGGGGGGGCGACCCTGCGTACAGAGAGGAGACACAAGGAGAGGCGTCAAGAGGGAGGAGAAGGAGCGGGGATGAAGTCGCCTTCTCCGGGATGGTCATGCGCCGACGACCCCGGGATGGGCTTCTGGGCCGGAAGACGAGGCTGCCTGGTCGAGAAGCCCTTCCTTGCCTGCCGCTGCCCCCTGCCCCCCTGCTCCCCTGCCCCCCTGCCCCCCTGTGCACGCGGCTGACCGGCCCAAACTCACTGTTTGCCCCGCTCCATTTTGCTCTTTTCCTTTCGCGGCACTACGGCTCGCCGAGGACCGTCGCCACCGAAATGTGGGTCATTTTTTCCTACCGTGCCATTTCCTCGCAAGTGTGAGGACATTTTCCAATATATCTGTTTCCTTCTCTGCTGCTTCCCCTCGTCGGCCTTTGTCCTTCCTCCGTTTTCTATAAGAAGATGATGACAGAGCGAGGGAGGAGAGGCAGCGAGGGCTCGGCGGCTCCGATGAGGGAAAAGATGCAAATCTGAAAGGTCTCCCTCCTCATCCCCCTCGTATCTCGTAGCCCCTAATGACCTCTGTGCCACGAGGCCATACGGCCGAAGATAGCTTGGCTTTTTGTCACCCTGACCGTCTGTCAACCGCCGACAGTGCCCGAGCGTGAGAAACTGGGGGCTGCTCGACCCCCCCTCCTACAACCCCGCTGCCTCCCCTCCTGACCTCCTCGCTGCCTCCTCCTTCCCCTTTCCCTTCCCCCTCCCCCCTCCCCCCTCTCCCTCCTCCCTCCTCCCCCTTCCCCGGGCTCTTGTTCTTCTTCTAGTTCAGCTTTTTCCTCTTCTCCTCCTCCCTTCCTCCTCCTCTTCCTACATCGTCATCGTCTCTTTTCGTGTTCTTTCTTCCTCGTCTCCTTTTGTTCTTCTTGTTTGTTATCATAATCGTCTATTCCCTTCTTCTTCTTCTCCTTCTTTCTCTTCCCCATCTTACTTTACTATTTTCTCCTTTATTTCTTATTCTTATTCTACCTCTACTTTTTCTTCTCACATTTTATTCTTATTTTCAGTATTGTCGTTTTTGTTGCCATTTTTTTTTCTTTTCTCTCTCCACGTTCCACTTCTTGATCCTCTTCTTCTTCTGTTGATTTCACAATCATCATCGTTTTTGCTTTTGTCATTGTTGTTGTTCCTACTATTGCTGTTATTATCTTGTGATCTTTTTCTCCATGCTTTTGTTATTGTTCTTCTATGTCTTCCTTTTCCTCTTCCTCTTCCACCTTCCTTTCCCTCCCTTCCCTCTTTCTCTTTCCTTATTCTGCTTCTTCTTCTTCTCGTGCTTCTTATTTCCCACCTCCTCTGCCTCTTGTCCCCAGGCTCTTGCTCCTTGACGCTCCACCAAATCCCGCAGCTCAGCCTTGCGCCCATAGACTCTGCTGTGGCATTCCTGCTCTCCTCGCGGCGGCGTCATCTTCCTTGTTCTGTCCTCCTCCTCAACCCTCTCCCCTCTCCGCCGCCTCTCTTTTTAGTCTTTTTTCTGCCCCCTCCCCCCATTTCGCCAAGACCACGGATCTGCTGGAGTTGCCTTGGCCTTGATTCGCCATCCCCGCTTAGGGAAGGTATGTGCCTCGTCAGTCTCCCGACGGGTCCAAGACTGACGGAGAGCGAGGCCGCGAGGGAAGGGAAGCGCGGCGAGGCGCTTCTCCTCTGAGCGCATGTTTCGTAAATGTTGTAGTATTTATCAATTAAGCCGTTCATTTCATTCAATCCTTCATGCTATCCTCTCTCTCTCTCTCCCTCCCTCTCCTTCTCCCCCCCCCCTTCCCCCTTCCTCTCCCTCTCCCCCTCCCTCTCCCCCTCCCTCTCCCTCTCCCTCTCCCTCTCCCTCTCCCTCTCCCTCTCCCCCTCCCTCTCCCTCTCCCTCTCCCTCTCTCCCTCTCCCTCTCCCCCTCCCTCTCCCGCTCCCCCTCCCTCCCTCCCTCTCCCCTCCCTCTTCCCTCCCCCGCTCATTTGGTATGACGGAGGCATTACTGTGTACAACCGCCTGAGATGTTCGAATTTCCCATGTCTGTCTCATTACCGCCTTCGGGAAAGAGCAGGAGGTAGAGTGTGATAACTGGCAATAGAAAGGGAAGGAAGAACGAAGAGATACGGCAAAAGAGACAGAGAGAAAGAACATTTTCTCGCGAATCTTTGTATTTCTTTCTTTGTTTCTCTGTCGCACGTTCTTTATCAGTGTTATCAATTTTTTTTTTTTTTGCATTTGCATATCTCGACCTTTCTTAGCGTTTTATTGCCGATTCATACTGCGTTTATTTTCATTCCTCTCTCTCCCTTTAACTTCTGTTTGTTTAGCTCCCAATCTATCGTCTGTCTCCTTCCCATCCCTTATGTTTTCCTTTGGCGTCCTCCTCCCCCGCTCCTCGCCCACCCTCGCCCCTTGCCCACCCCCCACAACAGCCGCGCACAACTGCCCTGTTTATTTATATTCCCCTTTTTAGCAGCGATCCTCAGCCTACTTTTTTCTATCCCAAACAAGAGGAGTCTATATATTTTTTTTCTATCTCTTCATTGTTATTCTGGTTTGGATTTTTTTCTTCCTTATCCTCTTACCCTTTCAGACACATGTTAGATTTAAAATGATTTGAATTAGAAAGACGTGAATCGAAAGCTGAAAGCGCTTCCGAAGCGATTTATAAGCCGCAGCTCGGAGGGCGAGGCGGACGGCGGCCAGACGGAGCGAGAAAGGGACCTCGCCTTGCCTTGCGTCGCCGATGCTTGGGCTTTCCCATCCACACTTGGGCGTGCGGGCGCGAGGTTGTTTGACAGCGCGAGTTATGAGCAGGTGATACAAGACATCGTCCAGAAAGGTCAGCTGACGCAGCCAAGTCCAGCTGAATTTGTTTACAAAGCCTCCTGAGGCGTGAAGTGACCTGAGGCCGAAAAGTTTGTTTACGCGCGGGACAGTTAGCACCTTGCGCGACGTTCAGGCAAGTCACAGGATGTCAGTCACCCTCAAGACGCATCTTTCCTCTCTCACACTACCGCGCATAAACGAAGATCCGCGATTTAAGGATTTTTTCGAAAGTCAGCATTATGGTTATGTTTGCTTTTCCTGAAATCGTCATTTTGATTACCATCTGTATTATCGTCACAGCCTCGCACCGTCACTTGACTGCTGCCGTTATCCCTCGGAGGGAGCGGAGGCAAGTGGCAGCACGAGCTAAGAAGACGAGAGCAGCGAGGCCCGGCCGAGGGGAGACGAAGGCCGGATGGGCGGCGAAGAGACCAACACTGGAGACACATATTGGACGTGTCACGAGTCACCAGACGGTTTATTTTGTGAGCGTGTGTTTATTGGTGTAAAGGGGGAGGGGGAAAGGGAAGAAGGGGAGGTGAAGAGGCGAGTTGGGAGTGGGAAAACAAAGGAAAGATGGGAAAAGAGAGAAAGGGGAGAGAAGCGGCACGAAAGAGTAGAGAGGCCGTCAGCACACATCCGAGAAAAGAAAAAGTGGACAAAAAGCCCGAAGAGGGGAGGCTGGTGGCGCGCGCACACCTGCCGTGAACCACGTGGCCTAAAGTGCTCCGCGGCACATTTCGGCGGCCGAAGAGGTCAGGGGAGGAGGCAGCCCAGCGCCTCCTCGCATCCCTCGGGCTTCTCTTCATTGCTGGGGATGCTAGTCTTTCTTCCTACATTCGGAACTCATGTTGGAATTATACTTTGTGATGGCTTACCTTTGATGCCACCATTAGCCCTCGCCCTGCGTTGCAGCTCTGAATAGTATTGGAGGTCTCCGCTCGAGCACCGAGGCGAAAGCTGGAGAGCGAATACAAAGGAAGGAAGCGAGTCAACAAGTGTAGCGTTTATAGCAATGGCCCAGCGAGCGGGACGCCGTCGGGGCGACCTGCAACGGCCTTCCCTCGGCGCCCTGCCTCCGTGGGCACGACGGCCATGCGTGCGGTGCAGAGCGGAAGTCGGCGTCGCCCCCGGGCCGCCGGGCCTTCGCAGGCACTCATGGCGGCGTTCTTTTTGTGCCCTCTCCCTCATCAGTGTTCTGAACTTCGTCAGGGCTTCCTCCCTCGCTCCTTCGAGAGCACCCCTCCTTCCATCACTGCCTGGACCTGCGTCCCTCATTGTCTCCCTCACACTTCCATCTCGCACAGTGTGTGCCCTCTCATGTTGACGGGGCTGATGAGGCTTGGAGCCGAGATTAGGACAAGTATGTGGCGGAGCTTAAGGGCTGATCCTACCCATGGGGAAGCCCCCTCCCCCGCACTTTTCCCTCCCCTCCCCCGCTTCCCCCGACCTTCCTTCAACTATTCCCCTCCTGTCACTCTCCCTCGCTCCCCCCCCCCCCTCGCCCCTCCATCTGTGCCTGCCACTTCCTCTCCCCTCTCGGTGTGGGAAATTTTTATGCGTTGTAAAAAAGGGTAGAAGAAATGTATTTTTTTCATAGTTCATGTAACTTTTTTCTCTTGGCTAATTTTTTGTGATCACGAGCATGAGCGCTGAATGCATTTTCTTTAATTTATCAGCTCTTGTAAACCGCATGTAAAAACATACTGGCACCAGAATACTTTTTTACCAGCGCCCACTCGGTGCGTGTTGTTGCGTGCGTGCGTGCGTGTGTCAGAGCCTGACTGGAGCCACCTGCTGCTGTGAGGCAAGAGGCGAGAATGAAGAACGCGGAGGGAAGGGAGGAACAGCGACGCAGAAATAGTGTTCTGCTCGCCAAAGTGGCAGTAACTGGTTTTAAGCGAAAGGGAACAGATGATGAACGATCATGAGGCAAAAGGAACTATTACCAAACATAGAAAGTACACATATTGGTAGCATTTTTGGTTATACGTCTAATCTGAAGAAAAAATTATCTTATTTATACTTTTTCAGGACACTGCCAATGCGGTTCAGCTGGGCTACCACATGGAGAAGCTCATATTTGACCTGGCAGACACGCATTTCTTCTTCAATGATCTAGAGGTAAAGATGTGTCTCCTTTAGTTTCACCTGGAGTGTAGTCTACCTCCGAAATATTATGGTGAATTACATAATGACTTTAAAGCACACATTATGATAAAGGATTCATCTTATATTAGTAATAGATGTCCATTGCTCCAAAAACCCTGAAGGATGGCATATTCTGACAGAGGAAATCAAACGGTTTTCTGCAATGGTCTTTCTTTTGCTCTAGGGAATAACGATTCCAAGTTCAACAATCGGACGACAAGATGATCTGTCGGACGTACAAACTAAGGCCAGGTAACAACTCCCGGAGTGAACCGAGTTACGAACCCGAGATTCTCTAACCGACCTATGACCGCACCAACGAGAACATACCCGGACCGACAAGCATGATAAGCACGCAGCCGAGCGTCACGGGCGAAGCGTTTAATGAACCCGTGAATATCTGAAAATGGCTGAGTTTGCGTGATGTCTGCAGTCGTTAAGATACAATAACCGAATGCTAGAAATACTGCCTGTATCTCATGAGAAGAGAGAAGCGTGTTACCGTAAAGGTAGAACAGTGAGAACCGTGCAGCTCCAAAGCCTCATACATATTAACTTGAATTAAACACGTTTGGACAGCTAGAGTTATTGGCATCTTGCCTTATACGAAGCAACTACAGAACCAAAACTTCAAAGCAACCCGGCGACCGCCGCTCAGCGCTGTCCAAGACAGACAGAAACGCGTCGCTTGTGCCTGACGGGCGTAGACGTAGGAGGCGCTTGAGCTCGATGCCGGAAGCATTGCACATTGCAGGAATATATACCAGCAAGATGTTCAAGGAAACTCATTAACTAGACATGCGAGGAAAACACCAATGTCCGAAGAACAGTAAAGAATACCAGCTCCGCGAGGAATAATGGGACTCTTGGCACCCTTAGATGAATTCTCCGCCTTACTGCCTGTACAAATGACCAATGCTGCACACAGTTATGTAGGGGAAAATGAGTAGGTGGTATGTTGTGTGTCTACAGGAGAAGCAGATTAACAATGCTAGATTAACGAGAGCTGAATAGGTAGATTAAGTACTGTGTGTCAACTGAATTGATGAATATATGAAAAAAGAAAGAAGTAGCCAATAATTACAGTTATTTTCCCTTACCATCTCCTCCCACGAAGGTCTCCTTGATCCCGAGAACAGAGAAAAGTGGCACAGAGTTCGCCAGGAAATCGAGACTCTGACAGACCAATGGCTGACAGAATCCATGAAGTGCCTGCAGCTCATAGCCTCCAGGCCCAACTGCGTGAACGTGCTGGTGACCACAACCCAGCTGGTCCCCGCGCTGGCCAAGGTCCTCCTGTACGGCCTTGGCTCCGTCTTCCCAATCGAAAACATCTACTCGGCAACCAAAGTCGGTACGTGGGGCGTGCGAGCGAGGGCGGGGAGGCAGAGGCCGCGGCCATGCCGGCTGCGCCCAAAGACATTGCAGTTGAACCACTTGGAAACATTTGTCATGATGTACAACAACAACGCGCAACACAACAACACAAAACACACACAACACAAGGTCACACACTAACACAACAGCACATCACAGCACACACACACACACAACACACACACACACACACACACATATAATAATATATAATATATTATAATATAATAAACATATAATATATGATATATATTAATATATAATATAAGATAGTATATATACATATATACATACATAAATAGGATAGTATATAAATTATATATAGTTAAATATATATAATTATATAATAAGGAAGTATATATGCACTATAAAGAACCTATCAGCAAACAGGACACGAATAAAATATATAGCCCATGAATATAAGAAGCATTATACATATATTTAACATACAAATAGAATATATATACACACATCACACCATTACATAACAAAATAAACTTAATACCATCAATAGAACTAAAAAGTAATATATCTCACCCAACATACTATACTCACACATATATAATATATATATATATACTCAACTCACTAATATTATAATGGATATCATATTACATATATATACACCTACATAAAAACCAATGAATAATATAAATATACCCACAGTGAAATATAGCTATAAAGATATAATTGAACTAACCATAAGATATGAGTAGCTGGGTACTTCATCTCATACTAATACACATATATATATATTAATATATATAAGGGACCTACCTCACCTATTCAGCCACCTACCTTGATCACCATAACCTCCTCCTCCTTTCCTTCCATACCTCCACAAGTAATCAAAGTTAGTTGCTTGACGAAGAGAATGCTACTAAATGTATATATATCCATTATGTAAAAACCATCAAAAATATATATATTACACTCAAAATATCATCCTAATACTAATAAGGTAAATATAGTTAACTAACTAGTAATTACCGCATATATATATATAGATTTATATGGATAAGGAGAAGCCCATATACTACGTCCCAAATTAAAGGCCTACCTCTTACCAACCGGACTAATATCGCGGCCCCGCGATAATATACTACTTCAAACTAAACCTATACTAATATACCTGTAGCAGTACATATACCGCAAAAACTTACCTATAATATATCACAGCACCCTACCTAACACTATATATAGCTGTAGCTCGATACTCGTCGTGTGTGTGTAAACGCCAACTACGTAACTATTAATTTACTCGGTAATGTAAAATCATATGATATATATATATTAAACCACCTTACACTATACTATAAACATAATAAAATATATACCTCACATAAATCACGTATATACAACTATCATAACTCATTATAGAAACTCAATATGTGAACCCAAATAACGATACTAAACCTATATCATTTTATTGTATGGTATATATGTATATTAATGTAACTAACATCCCTCACCTCGACCCACACAACGATATAATATATAACCTATGTAGATCCCTCGAATTAATACTATACCCCTCAATATATATCATAGTATATGTTATGTGTGTTGAACGCTCCGTGTGTGACCCCTGATTGGTGGTGTGTGCACCAACTGCTCGCTGCTCCGCCCGTGCCTTGTGTGTTGTGTCGTAGTAGGTGGATAGTGTGTAGTGTGTGATGTAACTGATATGTTGTTAATGTGTGTGGCGCGTGTGGTAACGACATCATGCAATGTTTCCAAGTGGTTCAGAATATCTGGGTCTAATGTCGTATGGGCGGCCCGCATGGCCCGGCCCGCTAACCGCAACAAAATCGGCCGCGGCGAACCCATCGCCGTTCCCCGCAACTACATCTTAGCTACACCGACACGCCCAGCGTACGAACTTTTGGTTTGCGAGTAGATGTTTTCGATTGGTGAACAGGACGGGAAAGCAGCAATCTAACTACCGAGACGGACCTGCCGCGCCCATTGCAGCAAAAACCAAGATAGGGACCTAAGCTCAGGTTGTATAGAACTTGTGGTCACCAGCACGTTCACGCATGTTGGAGGCCTGAGGCTATGAGCTTACAGCAGCTTTCATGGATTTACTGTCAGACCATGGAAAACATCTCGTCATTGAGTCTCGATTTCTCACTGCACACGGCGCGATACACTGTATACCTGACACACACACCACAACCACTATACTTCTACACTAGCTTCATCCACAACAACACACACCACACCACACCACACACAACCCACCGGCGCAACCATCCATACCACAAGAGGAGAAACACTTACAGTGCCCGAAGCACACGGAGAAATATGTAAGGGAAAGATAACAATGTAATTATTGGAAGCTACTTGCTTTCTTATTTTTCAAAATTTATATATTCAATCACAAATTCAGGATTGGGACACACTAAAAAAAAGTACTTAATTCTACCTATTCAAGCTCTCGCAATTTATCTATTGGCATCTGTATAATCTGGCTTCTCAACATGTAGACTTCACAACAGACATTACCACCTTACTCATTTTCCCCTACATAAACTGTGTGCAGCGATTGGTCCATTGTACAGGCAAACGAATCCTAAAGGTGCCAAGAAAGAGTCAAACCCGCGAGTATAACCTTACTTCCGGCATTGTTCCTGCAGGCTGTTATAAAGAGTTATCTTGATCTTGCAAAGAAGAAGAAAAAATAAAAAAAAAATAAGAGAAAAAAACGCGTACTAGAAGGCAAGCGTTCCCGCATCCAGTCAACGCCTGTTACCTCAGCACGCCACCAGATGACTCTACGCGCGCACAGCGACGCGCTCTCGCTCAATGTTGGAGCAGCGCTTGACCAGCCGTCCGCTTGCGGAATCAGTGGTAGTTGCCCTGCAAGGCAAGAATGCAAACCCTTAAGTTACCAAACTAGCCCCTGATAAATGCCAAACGCATATTCGACTCACTCACTCCAACTCACGCACTCTCGTCTACATCTCTCAAAACACATTATCTAACACGTATATTAATCACCTGAAACACACGCACACCACACTTCACCGCACCAGATCCATTCATCAATACGCTCGCTCCGTACACTCGCGCCTCAACTACTAATTCTCTCCTCTCTCTCGGGAGCCACCTCGGACCTCACCTGACAACCAAGGTGACGCTAAAAGAGCGTTGTCGTCGAAGGGGACACGTCGTCGATGTGGAACTTGGTCGCATATCACATGAGCAGAAGGGAAAAGACCATTCAGAACCGTTGATTATATCTCGTTAAAAGATATGCCCTTCA